CAAGCCCGTGAGGTGATGCTTAACCTCCAGTAAGTCCAAAGGAGGACTGGTGTTCGTTTCTGCTGACTGGCTTCTTTTCTTCTCTGAGTAGAAGTCAGTCTTTAAAGCCTCTTCAGGGGAACCAATGGAAGATGAAACAGCAGTGTCTTAAGGGGAAGCCTTTTATCTTTCCCTTTGCAGGAGAAGACAGTGTAGGAGGAGTTAGGAGAACCTATTCTATGTCTGTCTGTACTGCTAAAGTAATTTCTGGTCCCCGGACCTGGTGCTGCAGACTGGCTGTGTTTGCACCACACAGAACTTGCAGTGATCCTTGACGCAGCACAAGACCAGAGATCTTTGCCTCTCTATGCTTTTCTCACCCAGGATCCACTATGCATGTGCTCACCTCACCGATGAAGGACATGTGCCAGTAGACCCCTGGAAGGAGCCATGCTCCAGGTGCACAGACAGCCTTTGCCCATCACTGCTGCAGTGACCTGTTGCTCACCACTGCTGTGTTTGCTACTTCTGTTTGTCAAATGGCCTTTTGGTGTCACCTGTGGCTTGTCTGTTGGTGTGCTATGTTCTCTCAAATGGGACGAGGCAAAGGGCTGGTCACTGGTGAGCAATATATTAGATAGGAGCATTAAATTTTCCAGATGTTTGGGCTTAGACAACCAGACTGGGCTTGGAGATACGGACTGTCAGTTCAGGCTGATTATGTTATTCGGGGAGGTTGCCCTTGCAGGTGTTTACCAGAGCTGGAGAGGGGATGCTGAACCTGGTACCCACTGTGGGCCCCAGCTGGGACAGACACCTGCAGCAGGTACAGAGCAAGGTCAAGTTCAGTGCTTTTGGCAGGGAACTGGCAGGGATAGAGGGCTGCCAGTGTTTTCTGGGGTCTTGCTATTCCCAGCTTTCCCCAATCAGTGGGCACCAGTTCAGGTCAGAAACTCATCATGGCAACATCTGGAGCAGTGGTTCTGCTGGCCCATTCCAGGCAGCCGCCATCACTCCCCCCACCCCCCCGAGGCTGGCCATGCATCCAGCAGCATCCCAGGAGGCTTGCCTAAGTACTGGCCACCACTGCGCTGCCATTCTTCAACCGTTTGGTTGAAAGCAGCATTGCTTGGTGGTACAGGAATATCCAGGCACATAGAGGGCCATATGAGCAGGAAGACAAGCTTTTGCTGTTCCAACCCCAGATTATTATTCCTAAGGGGGAATGTTGGGATTTTGGCTTGTTTCCTTAGCAGTGGCCTAAAATAACAAGGGGCCTGCTCAGTTGTTTGAGAGAGTTGTATTTTCATAACTCAATGCAAGAGGTGTGGTGGTTGGTTTGGTATGTCTTTGGGGCACGGCACAAGGGTGTGTGTGGTGACATAGCACTGACGCATTGTGCAGGGCATAGCAAGCCAGGTTTAGCACAGCCACGTCCATGATGCCTAACTTCTTTTGGAGTGACCTGTCCTCCAGCTTGCCCCAAAGGTTGTACGTGGTTCACTGGGTCCAGATGAGAGCTTAGCAGCAAATGAATTTATATGCCTGTGAACAATCAGGAGAGCTTGGAAGCTGTGTAGATGCAGCCAGAGAATAATTGTAACTGTCTCCTCGCTCTGATACATGTCCACTCTCATTTGCCACTTCTCTGCTGAGAGGATAGGAGAGCCCTTTCCCCTGGACCTAGAGAATGCTGCTGAGTTGGCTTCTCTGCAGCACACCCCAGGACGCGTCCCTAGATCCTACAGGGCCTTCTGTTTCCTGTGCCGCAAGCTGGACGTGAGGCAGTGGTTCATTTTCAACAGAGGGAAGGAGTAGCAGAAGCTCAACAGGCTGACACAGGAGAAGACCGCTCGGTTTCTATAGCTTAAACCAAAACAGGACCAAAGCGCTGTATTTACTTACTAATGACATATAGTTAACCTGCAGTCATGCTTCTTTTATACTTCTGTTCAAGCTGGCTCCTTTTTTTTTCAAGTCTCTCTAATCCCCCAGTTCTTGTCTGATGGTTGCTTCTTCTTCAACTTGAGCAGTTTGGAACAAATGGCCAGTTACGTGTATTTGATCCAGACATATGTGAGTGCACACACAGAGTTTGTACTCACGTTCTTCCCTTAGCAGGTGCTGTTATCCACACCATTTACTAAGGGTGGGCTCTGCAAGCAGCCCCGTGCTGCTCTCAGAGTTAATGCCATCAGTGAATAGCAGGGATAATAATTTTTACAGTATTTCCTAGATGGTCTTCTCTAGCCCACAGGGTTCTGACTGCTGCAGTGGGACGTGAGGCTGCATCTCAGCAGTGAAGGTGTGAATGGCTGCAGATCTCTCTCTTCAAGGGGAACACACGCACTAGGCTGTAGCTACCATAGTATTGGAGGGTGCTGACATAAATAAGGCATGACTTACTTTAAAACTGCCATCAGATCATCAGTTTTTGAATGTGATTTTAGGACAACAGAAAATTATTTTGCTAGGGACACCGTGTGAATTTCTGATAGTTGTAGGGGCCAAACCAGATACATCTGCTACAGTCCCAGAGGTTAGGACTTCTTTGGTAGTCTGTGGGGTTTTAATCATTTTTGAGAGAGGAGCAGGCAGTACTGAGATACTGGCACGTCAGGAACTGCTGAAGAACAGAAGCAGATGAGAAAATTATCTCCTATTTTTCAATAAAGGCCATTATATGTAGAAAAAAGTCAGGCAGATATTTGGTGACGAAAGGAAAATTAACTTTTGATTTCTGTAATCTGTTATTCTCCAAACAGAAATAAGAATATGCCTGAAAGAAAGTTACGGTGATTTGGCAGTCATCCCTTGAGGTTGGGTAGTATGAGTAATTCTCTGTGTTTTGTAAGGCTCACATTAGAAAGTTAGCTCTTAAATGATAACTTGGCCAGTGAAATTCCCTCTAGGCAAAGACCCTGTGTCTCACTTGAGCTGTACCGTGGGAATGGGCCCAGTACAAGTGTGGGTGGTGTTAATGCCATCTTATTCCCAAGAACGACACATTCTCAAGGACATAACCATTTACTCACTATGTTTTAGACACTGTAACTACAGCTCAGCTGAGGGAAGGGGTTTTGTGGCAAGTTCGCTTACCAGCTGATGCAATTCCAGTGACATCTAAATGTCATCTCCTATGTAAAACATGAAGCTGAGAATATCTGAATTTGAACTGCCATGCCTGGGAAGACAGGATGTTCTTGCATATTTTGAAATTTGGGGGAATTTTCTTACCCTTGCCTGATAAACTTTTTCCAATTTTTTTTTAAACACCTCCTTGGTATTTAATGGCTACCAGTGAATTAACAATTAACTAAAGTAACCAAAATAAAACCAATATTGTATGTGGTGAGTATCAGTTGAAATTAAGCAGTAAGAACAAAATGACTACTGTTTTTCCTAACATCTAGAGCTGGCACAGGAGGATATATTAAGGTCTTTTCATTTCAGATGTGCAGTGTTACAGTTATGTTGCAAATTTTTTAATTTAATGTCTTGATGATTCAGCCATAAGCAGTTTTTACATGTTTGTCTCCAGATTAGTGTAATTCCAGTGCACTGTAGTGGAGTTCTCCATAGCACATGGGTTGTGCTCCCAGCTCTGCACATCTCAACTAGGATATGGGTGGCATTCTTTGCTTAGAAAATGTTGGTCTTGGAACCGGTCAGGCAATCAGAAGTGAGCAAGGTAGTGTGCTGCCAAAAGCCAGTTCCTTTGAATGAGAGGCAGAAACTCAAAACATTGTGTTCCCAGTCTGTTACCGACATCAGGTGAAATGCAATAGCATTACTTACTGATTTGGGGTAAACCATGTTAAATGCAAAATATGTGTGCAGTTGGTTTCTACATCTCAGCTAAGAGGCTGTCACCCTTGGTGACTGTCTGAGCATGTCCACTGAATTTGTGATACTTTTGATACATCAGTGTTCGATGCTCTACAAATGACGGTAAGATATGTGGGTGGATTTCCCAGCCTCTCCTTAGCCCCTGGGGTAAAGCTGCCTCTGGATTCTTCTGACTACAGGGTGGCTAGAAATGTCTGTGGGCTAGAGTTTTACACTGGAAGCAGTCATCTATCACAGCAGTCATGTTCATCTGAACGCACAAGAGGAGTTGCAGCCATACAGCACTGCTGTCACAGGGCCTTGGCAGAAGCCAGAAGAAATGGGAAGGGCTGAGGCTGGACTTTGGTGCAAATGGCAGGTCAGCCGACAGGAGAGGACAGTCAGGGTGTCCCCGCTCAGAGTGCTAGCACCCATCTCTGACTGGCTTCCCACTGCTCCTCATTTTCCCAGTAAGCTGTGGCTAGGAAGGGTATGGCACAGGCCAAAGTGCCCTTTGCCTGTGAGGGTGCCCCTGAGTAAAGGAAGGGGTCTCAGTGCACACTGCTGACTGGGTCTGCCTGATCTCTTCCATCTCCCAGAGCTGTTTAATGGCCTCCTTAACTGCTTTTGCCATCAGTAAAATAAAGAGTTTGTACTGTTCCTCACTTTACTCCTGTGTCGTAGCCCGTTTGGGTTAACTATTTCTCCTTAGCCTAGCTGGAAGCCAGTGATGTGCACAGAACTGTAATCCAGTATCTACATCTGTTTTAATTTCTGTAAAATTTTAATTTCATTTTATTAGAAAACTAACATATACTAAGCAAATCATCCTCCAGCTCATCTACATCTATTCTCAGGATAGCGAAGTTGTGGAAGGGGAGCCTGACCATTTGCATTAATCCCTCTGCCCTGCAGTACTTCCCTGGAAAGTCAGGTCATAGAGCCTTAAACAAGAGCTGCTGCTTTTGTCCTAGATGCTTTGCAGGAAGCTGGCTAACATATGATTTTCTTTACAAGTTGGGAGGCTACCGAGCCCACAAACTGGCATTGGGCAGCTCATGTGTAGATATAACCAAATACCGTGTTCCTGATTTTCTGCTTAGTAGCAGCAGTGCCCTTGTGAGCAGAGACAGTAAGAGGAAATCTTTGATTATAGAAATGGCAACCTGCTAATGACTTCCATTCCTGCACAGAACATCCCCACCTTGGGAAGCGTAGCAATAACCATGGCGCTCCACAACTGTGATGAGGTGGCGGTAGCTGGGTTTGGCTATGACATGAGTTCACCCAATGCACCACTGCACTACTATGAAAACATCAAGATGTCTGCCATCAAAGAGGTAGGGAGCTCCTGCCAAGCACATCTTCCTCCCAAGCATGCCGACTACCCTGACTCCAGAGCCTAACTGGGATCGTGATGTCAACCTACAGCTTTCCTTTATGGGTCAAAACAGCTCCACCCATGCATTTGCCTGTAAAATTCTGGACATTCTCCCAAGTGCAGTGTGTGTTAAAAATGGTTATTTCTGCTGGGAAAAGTTCTCTGGAATGTGTATATAGTGTGATTCCTTCTTCAAGCAGCAGGAAAAAAGATTCACATAAATGTTAACTCAAGTAGGGTGAAAGGGAGCAATTCTGCTCTGGGGTCAAAAAGATGTGGCCTCCTCGTGCTTTTTGATCCATTGTATTGCTCTCTAATCCATAGGCTTCTTTTGCTAAATGATCCCCTCCCCAGCCCCTGTGAATGTGAGGGAGGTGAGATTAGCCTGTGCATGTTAGTTCTTGGCTGACTGTTCAGCAGTTAGCTAGTGTAAACACATCATGGCTCTGTGGAGACTGCTCTTTAAAACCAGATCTACATTAGAAACATTTTCTGGTACTATCACAGTGAGATGAACAGCATTTTTAGAGGAACAAAAGCTCTGGTGTTGGTGTAATGCAGCAGTATAAAGATGCTCTTTCAGGTCTGTCCGTATCCTGTACCAAACTAGAGCAAACTTGGACACTGGTCAAAGCTTCTATAGTAGGAAGGGTTGTTGCATCCTTGGTAGAGCTCAGTCTTTCCTAGCACAGATGTGGCCCAAGTCTTTCTAAGATTGCTTCCCCCTCTTTACTGGCTCCTAGGTAGGGAAACTTTCTCCATCCTACTCCACGTTGTGAAAAGTTGTATTGTTCATGGACAGTAGCTGGCTCCTGGTACTTGGCATTTGTTCACCTTGAGCTCTTTGCCATTGATCAAGGCCAGGAGGGAAGCTGTGAAGTTGTGTTTTTCCAAATTACAAGATTGTACACATCTTAGGATTCTCAGGCTGCAGGCTGCTTGACCCTAGGCAGACTGAGAGGGATTAGAAATTAGTGGTTAGTTAGCTTGAGAAATGAGAAGAGCGTGTCTAATTATCAGAGTAATGAGGTTTTAGAACAACCTATCAACAGAGGCCAAGAGAACAAACGGAATTTGGGGAAAGGCTGTGAGGAGGTCCCCAGTATATCAATGGACTGCACATTGTGGTCCTCAGGACCTTTTGCGCCTGTGGAGGTAGCAAGAAAGTCTGCCTTGCTCAGTGGAATAACCATGGATTTAATCAGTGCTGGCTGGGAAAGTTAGTGTCCATTTACAGGATTTAAGGGGTACATCCAGAGAGGAAAAATTAATCGAGTCACTATGTACAGAGGTGTTGTCTGGCTTGTGAAATCCCCAAATGGAAAATAGCTGAGGAATATCGTTCTTGCAGTAGTAGAGGAGGTATCACCATTGGCTTGCCCAGTTCTGACTCTTTCCTGGGTGTCTTGCTCATAACCACTGCCTGGAACAGGACTCTGGGCTACCCAGGCCCAGGTCTGAGTCAGTACAGCTGGTTCCTTAGTCTTCCAGGAAAGATACGACTACACCAGAGTGAAAATGGAAGCAGATGCCTGGCTCCAGCAGTGAATACAGAGACTATTCATGAAGGTTTCAGGAAAAGCTTTTGTCTCTGTGGTGCCACTGTGTCAACTCTAGTGAATTGGCTGCCTTTGGTGGAGAATCACTCTTACCTCTTGTCTCATAAGGATGTCAGTCCCACAATCTGTTCTTAGACATGGGGACAATCACAGTGGGTGTCCTGTGCCAAGCCTGTTTTGCAACCTGGTAGGTGTCTCTGACCTCGGGGACACCTACACAGGAGCCGACAAGAATGAAGTCTTCTTGCTTTTGATCCTTACATGAATCAATGGGAAAAGTTGGCAAAAAGAGTTGGATGACAGAGTCTCTGGTTGAAGTCACTGGTCCAGACCGCCTGGATCTTTGATTCTGGGGGCCGGCACCCTGAGTGGGATGCAGAAGCCAGTGGAAGACAGGAGGGAGTCACTCTTGGACACCGTATGTGGTCTCAGGAATAAACCTTGCATGGCACAGGGCAGTAGATGAGGACGAACATGTGAAACGCAACCAGTAGGGTCTCCTAAAGAGAACTAGTTAGTGCCTGGTTTGTCAGGCGTCTGCTGCCTGGAAGCTGTCAGTCATCATATCAGGATGTTCTGTATGGACGTGAGGGAGCGTAGAAATGTTCCGGTGAAGCCTCACTAATGCAGATGTCAGTGGATTTATTTCTGCAGCCGGGGCTGTTGATGAGAGCTCTGCAGGCCAGCAGAGATGGTTCTAGGATGAAGGTTCCTGTTCCACTTGAAGGCTAGTTATCTGATACGTGTCTGCCCTCACATCCTCACCCTCTTACATTTTCCTGCCCTAGTACAAGAAAAGCCATCTGTTCCCAAGTATCAATAATTAATGCTCTTCCTGCCTCTGCCCCTCCCAATATGACAAATTGTTTGTGATATTGTAGAATGTGAAGAGCAGAGAGAGGATTGCATTTCTTTCTCTCCCATTTAATATTAATGGTAGCTGGTAATTGTTAGTCACCTGAGGGTGAAGTTGAAAGGTAAAAGGCATAGTAATAGTTGGGTTGTGTCTTCTGCAGTTACCCTCAAAAATCGCACAAACTGAGATTTGCCCCGCTCTAGACTGGAAGCACCCTGCTTGAAGAGAGACCTGCATGTGGTTTGCAAATTGGGAGGCTGGCCTGCATTGGTACCTTGTGCCAAACCTTGACCTTGGTATTGGTGAAAGATGACTGGCCCAGAGCCGAGCTCCACCAAGGTTTTTGTCTGTTCCATTTGCTCTGACACCCAAAGGCCCAAGAGCATGCACAGCATTTTCCTCGGTGTTACTTTTGACCTCTGGGATTGTGTCCAGGTCTAGTTCTTCATGGTCCTCCTCTACATTTCAGCCTCTAAAGGAGCCACTAAACCAGGCTATGCCTTGAAATTATGCAAGTTATTATCTTTGTCCTCTGTCTAGCCTGCAGACCTACAAAGGCTGGAGCACTGTATTCCTGGGCAGGTGAGTGGAGCAGGTTTGCTTAACGTAGCAACATCACAGCACTGAAACAACTGCCATGGGATACAGCTGTCCCACCATAAAAAACATCGTGGGCAGGAACCCCTGCAGTTTGACCGGGCTTTGGTGGGGCAGAACCTCTGTTTCTGAAGTTCAAATCTTTGCCCTGACTGCAGGGCTCCTCCAGCCTGAATGATGGAAAATCTTCAGTGTTTAAGCCTGGAGAGCAGCTGGAGGGAAGCACTAAAGCTCCACCCTGAAACCATCACTGTCTTTACAGAGGAAATGTAAACACCAGCAGCATACTGGGTCTGTGTGTGTGGCTTGTGGGAGCCTCCCTGGAGGAACATCCATCAAGCACCTTCCCTTGCCTGGTGTCCACAGGGGGAACAGGCCTGCCTGCAAGTGTGCTTCCTCTCAGCAAGGTGTGTTGCTGATTTACAGTTGAGGCCTGCTTGACATCTCTCTGGACACCCTTGAAACCCTGTGACTCATCTCTGAGGAATTTGTTCTGATTACATAAAAAAAGCCAGCAAAATGTGCTTGCTTGCTCACAGCTGGGCGGAGATGCCTCTCCCATGCCAAGACTGAGGTGATAAAATCTCTGTGGAAATTAATGTGATTTTTCCTGTTGCTCTGAGTTTTGAAGAGGAGAAACAGGCAGCCCCAGTGTATAGTTTTGCTTAGTCTTTGCTTTCCCTGCAGGGGTAAAAGACCTCGAGGTCCAAGATTGTGCTGCTGTTGCTACCACAGAAGGCAGCTGTCTCTTCCAGCATCTCCAGCTCCCGAGGGCTGAGCAGATGCTCTAGAGCTTCGTCGGTAGTAATAGTCAAGGAGAAGTATATTGTCTTGGGACTCTGGTCAGTAGTACGGCTGCAAAACACATACGGATTCTCCTGTGCTTGTAAATGCTCATGAGAGTAAATTTCTCCAGTTTAGTCCTGGATGGCTTCCCTACCCTCTGTCCTGGGTAACTCAGTGTACTCCAGCCAGGGTACATCCAGGCAGACCTGGTGGCAAAGGCCCTTTTCTGTTCATAAGTGTGCTCTGGAGAGCTGGAAGCACACTGGTGCAGTGCTTTCAGTTTCAGGCTGCGAGCTGGAAGGTCAGTGCTTGCCGTGCAAAACCACCCCTCAGTCCCAGCTTTGCTGCCTGGCACCTTCTCCCCTCGTCTCTGATCTTCTCCCCATCATGGCCAAGGGTGCAGAGTCCCTGGCCTGCACTTCAGCAGGTGTTTTCTCGGTGTTATGAAGACAGCCTGCCGTTTGCTGATCTGGTACTGGGAGAGACCGCTGCCCAACAGACCTGGTGCTGTTGTGTAAACTCTCACTTCCAGCTCCGATCCTGTCTCTTTGTTTTCACTTACAAAATGCAGAATGTCCAAGTGTGTCATCTCCCTTCAGGTACTGTTTTCCCTATTCCAAATAGCTTTGCAACAGCTTTCAACCCTTGGCTGCTTCTGTGAATGCTGTACAGAAAATGATTGAGTCCTTGCCAAGGTGTCTTCTCACTTGTTTCTGTTTTCACAGCAATGAGTCCATCGGAACTGAATTTTCATATAGTTCATTGTATTTTTATTTCTTGCTCAAGCCCTGTAATCCTTCCTGCCCAAGCACTCCATAAAAGTATTTTTGTCATAGGTCACTGTCTTGTATTAATGTGTCAGATCCACTAGGAACATAGCAAAGGAAACATTGAAATGGAGGTGAGGAAAAAGGGAATAATTTTAAAATAGAGTGAAGGCTTTTCCACATAAAAAAGTGAATGAACCTGCCTATGAGTATTACAATAGACCTTCATTGCTAAAAGCAAAACAGGCTAGTGTTTCAGGCAGAAATTGTTTCAGGATGGGGAAGTGACAGTGTTTAGAATAGTAAAAACATATCCATAAGGAGCTGATGAAACAGAGAGCAGGAGGCTGTGCTAAATCATGGGAATGAAGCACAAGGCTGGCTCGCAGCATCC